TTAGCTTTTTCCTCTCTTCTCCAATTTCACGTATAATGGTTTTCCAAATAACCTCCTTTTTCTTTCTTTTTATCCTTCTTTTATATTCCTATTATTATTTTCCAAATAATAGTAATAAATTAGTTATTATTTAGTAGAGCTTTTTACTTCACACACCTATAATTCAACCTTACACCCCCCGGTCTTCCTTTTTAAATTTCATAATTAATTCATCCATTTAATCCAAAATATTATTAATTAAGCCTTTAATTAATTTAATAATTAAATTCCTAATTATTTAACACTTGAATTAATTTGGGGTGTCACACGTTCTACCCTTCAGAGGTCTCCACACGTCTCTTTTCAAAAAGAACGGATAAGACCAAAATTTAGTTATCAGCCTAAGTTCAAATATCTATGTCGAACCTGCTTCAAAATGTCTTCAAAAATACTAAGTCTCGACTTTGTACCATTTCGCTAAAACTTTGATTGAAATGTCACCATTATTCTTGTCGAAAACGAATTTTGACTATCTTCAATGCTCCTCTCGAATTCTCTTCAAAAATTTTGCCATTTATTAAACTTGGGCGTCGAATTTTCAACTAACACTTTCACTTAAACCTCCTCAACGGGTACCTCATCAACGACGAGTACATGTACCTCCTCAATCCCAGGCATAAGCACCTCCACAGCAGTAGGCACGGAAGCAGGTATCTTTTCAGCAGTAGAAACTCTAGCAGCTCGTCATTGGGGTGCGCAGGACTGCGCCTGCTCAACCATGTGTTTTGGATGAGAGTCGATCGAAAGATGTCGTCCAGTCCGTAATTAAGAAGCCTCTGCCTCATCAGCCCTGATCCGAGCTTCCAACATGCCCCCAATAGAATTGTCCTTTCCCTTGATCCTCACAGGAAAAATGACCAAAAAAAAATTAATTAAAAAATAAACTACCAAAAATTTCAAATTTTCTAGAATTTTTCAAAAAAAAAATTGAACTACCAAAATTTTCAAAATTTCAGGTAAAAAATACTACAAAAGTAACGGAAAATTTTTAAAATTCCCAATAAGAAATACCGAAAATACTAAAATTTCCATGAATTTCTACCAAAAATTTGTAGCTCTTGCCTCCAAAATTGATTTTGAATAATTTACACTAAAATTTCAATTCACTTTTACATAAATATATTCAAACACAAATCAATTATGTTAAACTCAATTATGTTATAATCAATTCTACTTATCTCAATCATACTCAATCTACTAAACTCAATCATACTAAAAATATATATTGTAATAATTTTGTGTTGCCATGTGTTAATTTATGTTTCATTTATTTTTAAATTAGCATTTAATACTAATTATCTATGTTAATTTATAAAATAATTATCTTAATATGATTGATATTTTGAAGTTTTTATTTTAATTATTATACAATTATTAAAAATAAGTATGCTTGAATTTTAGATTTTTACTTCGCATGCACCCGTGCTATTAGATTAAGTTATTCACATATCTCTGAGCTATAACAAAAAGCGCTAGTTATATTAAAGTGTTACATGAATTTCATTAAAAAGATGAGAACTTATGTGATCCTCACAGTCTTCTTTTTCGCTTTCAATATAAATCACTACTTGAAATATCTCATTTCTAGCTTCCAAAAATCTTACCACCACTTTTAAATCGCCCTTTCGGTCAAAAGTCACTACAATTGTCCCGGACAATTACTGAGTCTGTTTGAACTCCACACAACACCCTCTTGCATTACATCTTCAGAAGGATGCTAAAACTTTTTTCAACAAAAACTTATGAAAAATATTCAGAACTGAAATATATAAATAAAATGATGATACAAAACTAACATGTTGAAAACATAAGTTGTGCACAAGATGGACCGTGTACCATCTTCATAACAGAAGTATGATCAGCACACAATTCAGGACCTTCTCCCCTCATCCCCATTTCCCCCCTTTCCTTCTCAAGATGAGTACCATAAAAAATCTAAAAACACCAACCTACTGTTGTTTCTTGAGAGGCTGGGAAGATTGTTGAGCATCTCCTGTAGACTGGTTTATACTAGCTTTGGCCTCAGCGAGAAATTTAGGATCAGGCTCGTGTTTATCTGCAGGTTCTCTCATTGCCAAATATATGTAAAATGCAATGACTATGTTAACAGATATGACAGCGAGAAATCCGCTCACCAGTGTCATAGAGTAAGGGGACAAATTGGAAATTCCTGTCATACAGAAAAGGAAACGCGTTAAGGTAGTTTCAAAACTTACATTCTTTTTTAATGATGAGATCTGTTCTGCCCGGACAGATAGGAGAAGCACTCAATAACAAGACAAAGAGAAACTCGAAATTTCAATGTCATTTAGATGATTCAATAATTTGCCCGAAGACTTTTTTTTTTTTTGGAAGATATTTGCCTGAAGGCTTAAGCAGCACTTTGAAGTATTGACTGACTTAAAGCATTCATTACAAAAGCATAGACAAAGTGGCAAACTACTATTTTAAGATGTGTGTAATGATTGCCAAACATTTCTTCGGAAGCTCAATATTTGAAGGTAGACATTTATGGCATATCCAAGAGCATATTCCCTGTCATCTATCATGCGAAAATAATAGCTAAGACATGAAAAAATGAAGGAAAAATCAAACCACTTAATTTTTTGGCATATGACAAAAACAACACATTCTGGTTATAATAAGGTGCATGAAAACAGACCCACTGTTTCTTGATTATAAGCCAGAAACAACCATTTCCAAGTAAGTAAATAATACCAACACATAATGTTAAAATCAAATACATACTAGAAATTATTTCTTGAGACCACATGTAGGGGAGTTGTATTATTGGTGTGATTTCATTGTATATTGCAGCGATCATATGACAAACTTTAGCGTGTTCAACTCCATCGGAAGCAGTAAATTTTCCTTCCTTTAAAATGGTATATACTATGTACTATATACCAGGGGTCAAACAACCATTTCATCAGATTCTTGATACATATATGTATTCAGATTAAATTTTCAAAATATGGTTTTAAAAAAATGATAAATTAGTCAGTGTTAAGGAAACAACACTAACTTTTTTCACCAGTTCTCATCACCAAAGTTCTAATTATTAGTTTTTGACGACAAAAAATAATAAATGTTAAAGAGTCCCAAGACTATCTTAAGAATTGTGGTTGGGCCTAACTCAACTTCACAAAACCGACTTATAAGAAAAGGATTGACCTCACTTATAAACATACGTTGAGGCCATATATTATCCGATGTGGGATTCTTAATAGTGAGATACCATCTCTTCAACAAGGAAACAGAAAAACAAGCAATAATGTTTTGATACATAACAAGTCAATTTAACATATATTTTTCTACATAAAGTTTGTTCAAAATATGAAGTTAACGGCAATAAAATGTCAAAGACACAAATAAGAATACAAGTCAACACCCACTTTAGGACACACAAAACCCACAAAAAGCATAAGTACTAACAAGTCTTACCAGGAAGTAGATTATGGTTGAAAGCATATAATATTGCAATAGGGATTGACCACATGAACAGTGATGCAATGAAAAACTTCTGAACTACTCTCATCTTTATCCCAAATCCTGAAAACAAATAAATAAATAAATAACATAGAAAGTCAGAAATACTAAAAATACACACAGAGTACTTTAAGTTTACAATTATAACCAGATTAATTATGAGAGTACCATTCTTAGTCTACAATAGTCATATTATATTATGTATTTGTATGCTATGTTTCTCAATTACTGTTAAAACAGAGTATGCCAAGTCAGCGTATTATGAGTTATTTAGATTAGAGGCCCAATCCTTATAGAAGTATGAAACGTACTCAATGTTAATTCAATGGAACATTTTTTTCAGCTTTCATAGACCAAAGAGCTTTCCCTCTCTGGGTTAGCAACTTTATTCTAACATGGTATCCAAAACTTCTATTGGGCCCAAAATCAGCTATTAAGGTTGAGTACTCCAATGTCAGATATTCTTTCTCAAACAATCCAATCATTCTTAGTACCACTGCACCGTCTTCTCTGGTACGAATGAACTTCAGTCACAAAATCTCCATCAAGGTAGAGAACAAAGATATCGTTTGGAGCAATTATCCAGGCACAGAAACAAGATATCAATTGGAGCTCAGAGACAGAGCAACTTCATCTCTTTGTGTTCTAAAATTTTGGTATGGTCTGGTGATGTTGTGAAGAAAGACTCAGTCATGGGACAACCTCCTTTATCTGTGTTCCAGAATTCATAATGAAGCTGACAAACCTTAGACTTCATGTGAGTGGAAATAGGCACCACACAAAAGCATAACAAGTTCAAAACTGATGGGCCAATTGACAAATCAGAGTTCAAAATTGCTAAAGAGTGAAGGACGGTGTGGTGGGACTGTGTCCTCCTCTTTGGACGAGGATTTAACTCAGTAGAGTTAAGTTTTGGCTCATCAACGTCAGACTAATTCACTTAGTTGGACTGTTGGGTTCGTAGCAAACATGCCACAATAGGATTGTTCATGCTTTTTGGCTTGTGACTTTGTTTATGTTGAGATATATGAACTATGTGAATCTGTCCAAGTTTACACAAACTAATTTATAAATTATAAGCAAGTTAACTTGATTTTTTTAAATAAAACTCCGTGCCTAAAAACCATATATCATATAGCAGTACACACATCTTCCTCATAAAGTTGATTGTTACAAAAGAAAAACCAAAATGAAAAACCATTACATAAATATACTAGGGCATATGAATATAAAATTGTCCATCTTCGTAAAGATGAATGGAATAACTATAACTATGCATTGCATCGACCCCTGATGCAAATGCAAAGTTCTCAAGTTGTATGAAAAGATAGGATATTAATAGGCATCTATAGTAACATTTTCTTCCAAATAGGGGCAAGAACAAAACTAACAACCATAAAACTGCATACAACTCAAAGACATGACCTATAACTAGATCACAATGCTGAAAAATCCACTCTCTCTCTCTCTCTTCATCCTCCATTTTGTTCAGCACGCCTTGATCTACACCCTACTTGTTCTAGAAACTTTGTAAGGCGCAAATGCTTTGCAGTCCATTGTTCAGTCATTTTCTGCTCTTTGGACTCTGTTTTTCTTGTCAACCCTGCTAACTGTTCTCTATATTCTTCTTCAATTCTATCCAATGCAATCGCTTGTTCCTCCCTCAAAGTTTTTATCTTTGCTTTGATTTCCTCCACCTTCTCTCTCCTTCAACTTGCACTCTCCGACTCCAACTGCAGCTCCACTCGGTTTAACCTCCATGCCGCCTCTTCCTTATGCACTGCCAACACATGATGCCCTTCTTCCAACTCCTTAAAGCAATCTACTAACCCAGACATCACCATATTTTCGCCGTAAAATAGAACAGCAACGTGAGGAGCTACTTTCCCAAGAACAAGAAGCGCATTGTCCGGTTCTCGTACAGCTGCATCCATGGAGGAGGTGCGCAACAGTTGAGAGAGAGAGGCTTAATGTCACTGAAGGGGAATTCAGCCTAACAGGTGCTGTATTGTTGGCTTTTCAAAAAAAAAAAGGTGATGTATTGTTGGAATTTGAAAGCCATGAAGGAAGCAGCCATGAAGATAAGAACTCTTGCTGCTTGTGCATTGGTATGAAGACAAGAACTGTTGCTGCTTGTGCATTGGTATGAAGATAAGAACTGTTGGAAGCAGCCATGACAAATGAAGGCGACGGTCTCTCTTTCACTAGTTTCTCTGCGAAACTTTCGAGTATATGTTTGTACTTGCTATCGTTGATTGGACCAACGGCTTTGTTTATTCATTTTGTTTCTCTTTGTTGCTTCACTTTAAATACATCCCACCACTTACCTAATCTCTTAGCAGTGCGACTGGGGACTCGTGCAGCGATTTTCTTCCATTTGTTTCCGTGCGTTGATAGAAGGCTAATAACAAGGCACTGCTCTTCCTCAGTGAGAGTTCCTTTCTTAATACCCGGCTCGAGGTAGTTCTTCCGCCGTTCTAAACACAATTTTGCATCCCCGTTAAGAGGTGTGTTCATGTACGGAGACACGAGGTTCCATTCCTTAGACAGCACTGTTTAACATAAGCGCGTGGTAATGCATCCTCTTCAACTCTCCACCGCTACCTATCATTCATTTCCAAGTGCCTATCATACAGCCGGTCTCTCGAAACTTGAAATCATCATAATGTCTCTCAGTGTTCAATATGTAGCTTAGAAATTCTGGTCCATGAAACAGAAGTTAACTTGATATTGATTTTTGATACCTAGAGTTTGACAAACCTGCTTCCATTGGCACATCTAATTGTTCCTCACCACCAAAACCAACTGTCATTCTCAATCTAAAAGCTTCTAACACTTCCTATTATCACCAACAATCTACCTAGTTTGTAACTCAATTTTCCCATGGTAATGAAGTTTATTTTGAATTTCACTTCACCTACCAGAGTGTCATAGAATAGTGAATCCCTCCCCCACATTGTCCGTGTTAGAAACCAACATTGACACTTATAATTACGTTTAATTTATTCATTTTTTTCAAATTATCACCGGCATCAACATCTATAACCATCAAAAGTAACATATTTAAACAAATCAACAAGAAACCTAGCAGACCCTAACCATTGAGATAATTGTAGTAACTGAAAAAAACAGGGAACAATCCTAAGAGTTAATCTAACAGACGCCAATAACGAAATTTTATGTATTTCTAAATGCATAAATAAATAACCGTTAACAACTGTTACAATCACAGGGAAACTATCATGAGCTTTCAGCAGCGTAATTTGAAACCTCTATAACATATTGTGAAAAAATTGGAGAAGATTAGCAAGCTCACCGGATCGGCGGTTATATGCGTCACTTCCGGCGGTGCTTCGAGCAACTAGAGACGAAAGGCTGTGGTTTACTGGATTTGTACGACGACGGCGCTGCGGTTACGGCGATGGGGGTTTGGAAGAAGTGAGAAGCGAGAGAGAAGTTTATTTTTTCCCAAAATTTCTCTCTCAAACCAATTTTTAAACTATTAATTATTATTTATGACAATATATAAAACAAAATTCAATTTTGGTGTAGTCTATCTAATGCATGTTCTTGGGTAGGTTTGGTGTAAAAATATTTTATACTAGATTTTATGATATGAATCAATATTGTTCGTTCGAATAGATGGGTTTGTGGGGAGAATTGAAAATTCGTTGTTTGAACCGATTAATATTGCTTTTTATTGATTTTATTTGGTTTTTGTTTGAACAAAAAAAGTGTCATACTCAAACATTATGGTTTTGTTTAAATTCTAATTTGATTCAGATATGTCTTAATCAATTGACACTTTTAAGTCTATACCTAACAATATATAAAAGTAAAATTTAATTTCGATGTAATATATTTTACATCTCAATTTTATCCTTCTATAACCTATTTTGTTGGGAGGAAATCACAAACGCAACAGAATAATCTAACTGATGATTACTTGAAAATTTGGTAAGCAAAATTAGTTTTAATTCACTTAAGAGATTAAAGTCGAAAAAACCCCGAACTTATTGTGCAAAGGTTCAAATGTTTGAGATTGCTTGACATCAACGTTGAAATCATGCAATGTTTGTAAAAAAACTTAAAATGCAGAAAAATAAATGTAAAGAAACTTAAATGCAATAAAGTAACTTAAATACAATAAAAGACTCGAAAGGATGAAGAAATTGAATTCATAAAATGGAATACAATACATATATTTTTTGCACTCCTTTCTCTTAACACTTGGTACTTTTAATATTTAGAATTTGTGTGTAAAATTGGGGACTCTAAAACTATAAACAACTAATGCTTATATACAAGTCTTAATATATCCGTCAATAACGGTCGATACAACAAAACATGCCATATTTCAATGTCATGCAAACTTCGTCTTCATAAACTTTACACGTGTTGTCGAGTAACCGACTGATCTTATCCACTTTGAGTCCCTCCGACGAAGCAATTATATGATTTGTTGGATACTTGAAATTTTACCAAATCCCAAACACATCTTTGGTCCTCATTGATGAATATTCAACCGTAATTAATATTGTCCTTTGACTGGATAACTGTCAATCGTCCTAAAAACATATGGTCAAGCTTGAACCATATAGACTTGAAGGTGACAATTTCTCAGGATCTTTTTCAACTCTCAACCTTGAGACTTACACCCTATGGTCACTATTATAAGTAACTTTTACCTTTTGAGATACATTTGATTATTAATGTATTTAGTTAATATATGAACTAGATACATTAATAATCAAATATATCAAAAAAGGTAAAAAAAATTGCTTATAATAGTGACCAAAGGGTGTATGTAGAAAATCTGAAGTAACAAATTGCCCCCAAAAATGTCATTTTTGACTGAATATATGTCGAGGAGAAATTGTCATTTTTTGAACCAATTTCGACATTATTCAAAGCGTGTCACTGACGTCAGTGTCATTATTACAATTTTATACATGTTGTCATTTCCAATGCACCTCCGCATTAAACTCATCATGACTTCCTACTTTTCAGAAAATCATGGGTTTCCCAATGCTGAAAATCCTACTAACTTCTCCACTACTCTGATCATGAAGCATTTTATAACTGCCATGCATTCGTCATTTGTCCATTACTCTGAGGTCCATTGGTTTTATAAATACCCAAAGCTAGACCACTTTCAAACTTGTTTCACCTCCGCTCTTAGAATTGCAATAGTTTCCCTGCTCAACGCACAAAAATCCTTCATTTTCTTCAAGCTTTTTATGTAACTCAAACTATGGAAGCTTCTGATGCATCTTCAAAGATAGATACTGGAAAAAATACACTCACATTCTCCATTCCATCATTGGAAAATGATAGAATTCATAGCTTCATCCAAGAACCACCACAAGACAAAGACAAAATTGAAATTTGGAAAACCCAGGTACCATACCCTTTTCCATCTCTAAAAATTTGTTTGCATTTAAGTGGAGGAATTTTTTCCTTGTTATCTCCCAACCATGTCTCTTGCGTTCGAATAACGTGCATTCGACTTAAAGTTCTTATACCCCACTAAACGAGTTTTCCTATCAGCCTCTTTGTTGAGTAACAACAAAGATTATATTGCATGATTAAACAAAGTGTAACTTAAACGAAAGGAACAATGAGAAAATTTAGGTATATTCGACCTAATCCAACTCTCTAGAACGTGCCTTATGTATAACCCATGTATGTTATTGATTTTGATCCTCTTTTGGGAAGGATCGACTAATACATTCCACCTTTCTTGTGAAATGACCACGCCGACCTTGTTCGACGTGGCAACCATAACAAGACTTTTGCCTTTAGGAGACAATTTAGATCCTTCACAAAAGACCACTCTCGAATTTAATTTCGACAATCCTGGCTTCAAACAAAATAGTATCGACCATCATGACCAAGACATTGTTGATGTTTCTGATTAGGAACATGTTGCCTTTTTAACCCTCTGCCTTTTTTATTTTTGCTTTTGTTCTAACTCCTTACAAGTAGCAAAAATCTATATCCAACTAGCCATCCAACTCCATGAAGGTAAAAAAAATTCTTTAGGTAAACTGCTACTAGCTAATTTGTACTTATCACTGGGTAATGCATCTCATAAATTAAAACATCTCCTTCAAGTAAAAAAGAAATTCCTTGTTTCTGGTCTCTTCTGGTTTTTGCAACTTTGGCTAAATGTCACTTTTAAATCAAGACTGCATGTCGTTAGTTCGAAAGAACTGATAATGTAAACCCAAGGTCGACATATTAAAGGCAATAGGCTTACTTATGTTACCCCTAGGGAAACATTAGACCATGTATTTTTCAAAAAGTACATAAATTTGTTCCTTGAAACCAAAGTATTTATCTCGACCATGGCTCCCTTTATGGATCGACATGTTGGTCCCAACTGGTTTAGGAATCGATTTCCTAGTGTTACCCCTTCGACTATTGCTACTTCAAAATTTCGTCTGGAGAGCCTTTTTGACTCTGACTACCTTATCCTCAAGAATCAAACTAGGCAACATTGATTTGGGTTTTACCAATTATCAACCAAACTTGGTAGCAAGACATATAGATTTCAGTCAAATGGTACCAATGTCTTTATATACATGGCCATAAGACATATGTTGGTCGAAACGCAAGCTTACTCTTAAACAATATCGAGATGTCCTAAAGTTCCAACGCAGTATCATCCTTGAATTGCCAACATTCAAATTCCAACCCTCTTTTTACTCGACTGAAGAATTTGAAAAGTGGTGGTGAAACTACTTTCAAACCTCCTTTTCTGAGCCAAACTTCCTTCAATGGGTGGCAACTGCTCTTTCCACCCTACAATAACTTTTGGCAGACAAAGCAGGTATATATTTAATTAAATCCAACTTGTCTCGACTATAAATATTTATTTACTCATGTATTCTTATGTAGCCAAAGCTCAAGAAGAGAAGGCCAAAGGCGCAACCACCGCCACTAAAGGCTAAGAAAACAACCATAAAAAAAAAGTTTTGCCTCTTGCTCTTCATATCAAATTTGTTATGGTTCTGAATTTATTTCTTCCCCATAGGGTCAAAAGGGAGGTCAGAGCTCCCCCACTGCTTCGACACAACCTAAGAAGAAGAAAATCACAAAAACTGAACAAACACATGTACGCATTTGTTTTTATTTTCTTTTTAGCTTAATTTCAATCATTATCAAACTAATTATTTTACCTTCTTAGGCTACTTCAAAGAAATCAGAGGATCATGTTGAGGACAAAAATTCTGATGACAATGAAAGAACTCAAATCTTTTTAAAGCCTCGACTTCGACCATACTCTAAGCCAAGTTCTGCTAAGAATAAAGTAGGTGCTAGTAAAAAAATCAAACTTGCAAAGGATGTTCAACCTTCAACTGCAAAGGACGACCAACCTCTGATTGTTGAACTAATGAAGGAGACAAACAAAAATCCAACCACTCCCAGCAAATAAATGAAAGTTTTTGTACCTCGATTTTTGCCTCTAAGATTCCTCTATCATATCATATCATATCAACTCAATCACAACAAGATCACACTAGGGTTTGGTTCTTCTCCTTATCTTTAGCTTTGCTCATGGGGAATCACCAAGCACATTGACTTGTATTATGTGATCATCTATGTTTTGTATTGATTAACTTTTAACTAATAAATACAATGAATGTTTGCCCTAATTGATGATATTATATGTGAAAGCACAACACATTCCATCAAGTTGATCTATAGGTTCGTGAGTTTATTCTCATGCCTTCTTCAACAAAGTTTCATTGAGATTCAAGATTCATCATTGAAGATGTTTTGAAGTAATATCATGACAAATTCTAT